CAAGCAATGCCGCAAAGTGCAGGTTTAGCCTTGTAAAAGTATTAATTCATCCTACACTGAAATTCCCAGTACTTTTTAGAAAATAAAGCGAAAAATTCATTATACCCATACTACAGACTTAGTGAAAAAGAAATAAATATTGCATATAGCTGAGAGCTGTGCTAGGTTAGCATGGGATTTTTGGTCAATGCTTCTTAGGAAGTACTCCAACAATAAATCTGATTCACCCATAAAGCAGAGCGTAGAGTCGAAGTGGCCAGCCTGGCAAAAAATTAAAGCCACTGCCTAATTGTAAGCATGCAAATACCCATATTTGGGCCAACCAAGCTATTTCTCTGCCTAAAGCAAGGCATTTGCTTGAGTACTTGCTGGACTGGAGCTCAAGGCTTTACTGCGGCGCTGGGACTCAGGAGGGCTGGTGATGCCCCATGCCGGGGTGGCAGGAGGGTGCTACACCAGCGCGGGCGGCACAGCTGCGCAGGCAGGAGAGTGAGCCCCGTGTTTTCCGCTCCAGCACTGCAGTGCTCAGCCTGACATATCGACTTAGCGTGCTGCTGATCTCAGTGACAGCTCATGTTCCAGGCTGCGAAGAACTGGCACACTGCTCGCCCTGCCAGCCCTGGTGCTCGCCGGCAGAGCAGCATGGAGGAGCAGCCGAGAACAAGCCTCGGTGTTGGCATTCATCACGCTTCAGCAAGGCAGGTCCACCATGCAAAATCCTGCAAAGTTTACAGCATTCACCTGAAGATTTCTTTTTAACCCCGGGATTGCTTGAAATCACAGGAGGTATCATATTATCCAGCGGAGGTCTAGCAGGGCAGGTTCCATGACCTGCAATACCAGGCAAAGGCTCTTCAAGGGGACTACAGGACTAATTTTAATGAGTTTATCAAGGATACCTCTCTTCAGAAAGCCATTCCTTGCACAACTTGATAGAAACATATGAGCGCATGCAGCAACTTTCAGGTTGATGACCTAAATACATGCGCAGACATGGTGAGGAACAGGGTCTTACTGCTTTGTGTCCAGAAAAGTGGCAGGGATGCCCATCTGAGAAGACAAGGCTTGACAAGATAGCACTGTGGTAGCAAGGTGGTCCGGGACACTGGGCTCATTACTCCAATGTAATACCAGTCACATGGTCACTGCATTTATTTGTTGTTGTAATTACTGTGCCAAAGCAGATCAGTTTGAGGCTATCAAATCACACGATACAGAGAAGTAAGCTGACTTTATACCCTAGCATAAACTTTTATTTTTGTTTTTATTTACAGCCTTTTGTGAATGACCATCTTTGTAAGCAGTTTTCTTTAGCAGTTTTCCCCCCTTGGGTATTAGCCCAGCAGTAAATATAGCAGTCAAACAAAGAAAGAGTTAAAGGAACAATTTGCAAAGAAATGTATCCTAGTAAACTGCGTGCAGTTTGGTTGAGATACACAAAATGAAACACAAAGGAGAAAAGATCAAAAGCTTGCAAAAATGAATTCAAAACAAAGCAAGACTGGTCCCAAATTACAAAGTCCCACTGGGGATCAAAGTGCACCAAAGATTTTTGTTAGTTATTACAAATTATGATATTTATTTTTTCAATCACATGTATTTTGAAGGAAGTTTTAATTTGCTCCAGCACTAAGACCTTCCCCACATGTTTCAGCCTGGAGCACATTTTAATGGCTTAGTTATACATCCCTGAAATTAGGGTTTTATAATGGAAACACTGGCAAGCCCTTATCTAACACAGTGCAAGCATCTTCGCAATATGGTCAGAGTTTGTAGTTAGGTGAGTGCAGCAGAAATCTTTTTTTGTATCAAGTAATGATGGGACCTCAGCCGAAGTGGCTAACATGTAAACTACAGCCCATGCTTGCTTATTGTTTGAGTCTACGGTGCAGCTGGTATCTTCCAAGAGACACCCACAAGTCTGGGCCTCTTAACTTGTATTACGGAGTTAGGACTAACACAAGAGCTACTCTTCCACACCACCTTCCCCATTTTCTTTCCCTTGCACTTCAGTTTACACCAGGCTCTTCAATAAACAGTCTGCACATCATATGATTTAAAAGTTTTCCACACTCAGTATTAATTTTAACACAGATTCTGCTACTGGGTAAAACTGGTAACTAACAGCTTTCAATCTATTTATGCTCCAAGTTCTGACTGACTCCTTCAGAAGACAACAGAGCTACTGAGAAAATACTAGTTTCTTCATCACACCTCAGACAGCTGTCACTCAAGTACATGTTACCCTGCAAACTTTGCTAATTAATGTGCTGTCCAGAAGGAGAGAAGCACTGATATTAGACATGCTTATGAGATGACATTGGTATGATAGGCAGATGTTGCTCTGCAATGACAGCAGAGTCTTGTGACAAAACCAGCACGAATCATTCTGTCTTTTTGTTATTTTTAAGGGTACCTTACCTTGTTTAACAGAGCATTCAAATGCAAATCACAACCATTTAACATTACCATAGCCCCTTGCAAAAAAAAAGGCACTGAATCAACAAAAGCTGCATACTTTGTAGGAGTGGTGTCTTATATCAACTGATGATGTTCCTGTAATAATACTCATTCCAGCATTAAAGAACAAAAGATGCAAATGCGATGCAAGCTCCAGCTTTCATGCAAATTGGTCCTTGTAACCAAAATTCATTATCATGACAATCACATCTGCAAGAAGCAAAACTATAAAACACTGCAACAGTAAAACTCATGTTTAAGTTCCTCAAGTTTTGGTGTTAGTATTTGTTTTGGTACATGCTCCATGGAGTTTCTACGCTAAGATGAAATTTTTCATATCCAGGAAGGAATGGAATTTTTTATCCCTTTGAAGCCCAACCCTGTATCTCTGGAAAGTCGTTTGCTTGGTTATATATGAAGGTAGATTAGAAAGCCAAACCTTGGAGAACCCGGTGACTTCCCTAAATAAAAAGACTAACAAGACCAACCCTTACCCACTGAAAACCAAGGTAACTGTCTTATCTTAACTAAACACAGCCTCGGGCCCCAGGATGTGTACTACATTAGCATCTCGCTCCATTAATAGGAGACAATTCCAGTGACAAAAATTTCTAGTCATTCATGAGACTTAGAATCCTTCCAGCCCTTGGGAGTTTGATGCCCCTGACATGCAGTAATATACCACTTAGATGAAGCAGGTAGTTAAGAACTAATATTACCCTTAAAGCTGATAAGTGGAATAGAGAGAGGAAATCATTTGACCACAGGGTAAATCAGTGTCAGAATTAGGCAAAAACATCTTGAAGGCTTTATTTTTAGCCCTCTAAATCTAGATGTTTAACGGTAATGTTAAAGCTAGCCCAAACGGTCAGAGGTATGTGCCAATATCGAGACTGAGTACAAACCCTTAACACATCAAACAATACGCATATGTGTTTAAGTGAGAGAGAGAGAGAAAATTATTTGACCACAGGGTAAATCAGTGTCAGAATTAGGCAAAAACATCTTGAAGGCTTTATTTTTAGCCCTCTCAATCTAGATGCTTAACGGTAACGTTAAAGCTAGCCCAAACAGTCAGAGGTATGTGCCAATATCAAGACTGACTACAAACCCTTGACACATCAAACAATACGCATATGTGTTTAAGTGTGCATCTGTTTGAAAAGTTGGGCCAATGTGGAAAATCCTATTATCGGAAAAAAAAAAATACAATGGGGAGCTCTTCAGCTAATGTGAACCACTGTAATTCTATTGACAGCAACGGATCTGTGCTGACTTACACCAGCTGAGGATCTAATTTCATATGCCTTAGAAAACTGATGCAACTTTTTCCATAGCCGCTCAAGAGTTTCTATACTCTCGTGGGGATCAACTCCAACTAGTAGGTCAGCAGGTGCTGAGTTTGCTTTGAATCTGAAGTCTCGTCACACAGAAGGATACTGGGACATGTGCCATCTAATTTTTACTGACCCCCAGAGATTCCCCTCTAGTATGGTTGTAGGATTCATGTATTTTCTGCTTTAGTCTAGTGGGACATGCTTCTTTGAGAAAGCAGAAACCTTTCTTCAACGAATCAAAGTGAGAACCTGAACTGGACCACAAGCCCAGATGAGTGAGCATGATGGAAGCAGAGAGGATGAACAAAAAATGTTTTGCCAGGAAAACACCAGGACTCCAAAATATGCAGAAAGACATCTTCCATTTTTAACCATTATTAGACTGATTTGTAAAAACCAACAGTTAACCTGCAGCTATCCAAAACCCATGGGTCTAAAATCTGCCCACACCTTTTCAAGCAATTTTCTTTCTTAATGCAAAGAGAGTTTTGCATTAGTAGGGACCAATATACCCCACCCCCTTACACTGAACAATCCCAGGGCTGGGATTACCCGCTCTCTGGAGAGACAGAGAATATGTAAAACTGTCAAGTGAGGTAGTCTCTGGGGAGAATTAAGCAAACTACTCCCGTTTTGCAAATCTACAAGCCGTACATTCACAACTTTGAAATGCATTAACGGGAGGATACACTCCTAGCTTGATGTTTTGTCCCTGGTCATTAAAGAACTTTGGGGAGGTGGGGGCAGTCCTTTGTGAGAAGCAAGTTTATTTGTCAAAGTAGAGAAGAAAAAAACCTTTGCCATTAATTTTGACAGAGCTACTTCTGTCTCTTTTGTAATAACTAATTATCTAACTAGTGTAAGAGATTTCTATGGCCAAATGCAAAGCACTCGCAAGCCCTGCCAGGCTAATCAAGACAATTTCCAAAACGCCAAAAACAGGAACTTCCTATAATAAATAACTTAGCACATTTACATCTCAAATTAGAACATCTGGAAGAAAAAGACTACGCCTGATGCCAAAACAGGCCTTATTGTATCCTACCACTTTCCACCACCGCCACTCACCCCCCCTTCTTCGTTTTCTTTAGCGTTTCCTTAGAACAAACACTGATCCAGGTGCAAATGCTCAATTCACAAGGAATGCAGTGAACATAAAATTACTGTAGGTTTGGCTGCTAGTAAATCCCTGCTGTTACTCACCATTGGAAGTTGTGCTGGAGGCAACAGCTTTCTCACTGACATCTGTTCGACTGGAGCACTTCACGATGGAATTCTCCACTTTTTTCTTCTCCGTCGTGGTAGAGCTATGGGACTGCGCCTCCATGATGACTTCTCATTACTTCAGCTCTCCTTGTGCTAATACCTGAATGAAACAAGAGAGCCAGAAACTTTAAATAATACACGAAAGCTTAGCCCAAAACCTCTCACACCTCTCACCTGAAAAAGAGCCTTCAGCACAACTGAATTAGCAGCCCACAGGCCATTTCTGGATGCCCATCAAATCATGTTCGCACGCACGAATTCCTGAGGAATTTAAGGAAACACTAAAACCAAAATAAGTACGTCTGCCTTTAACAAGAATCAGCATCGCAAACCACTATGCTGCTTGATGGGTAGGTGCATTTTTTTTTGAAGCCTGTAGGGTTTTAATGGACCCAGGGAAAAAAAGCCAGTACTTTTCTCCTATGTCCAGAGCACTTTGGAACAACGCAGAAGAAATCAAGACAGACCTTCATGTTGACTGTAGAAGCCAAATATTTAAATTTCAACATTCACACTATCTGAACACACTGCAGCAAGAATTATTCTGTCTATCTCTAACCTTGTCCTACTCGTGTAAACATCTCTCACTTTGTTTGTTCAGAAATCTAACTCAAACAAAAGTGCATTGGACCAACACCCTGAAAACCGCAGGGAAAGGCAAATATTATTGCTAGTGGCAGATAATGAGATCACTTTCTTTTGCATGAAAATGCTGAAAATTAAAAACTCTGCAGAGGTGCGTGTCTGGTTATTCTGCCTTTCCTGGCTGTTCTCAGTGTCTTCTCCAGTGATACATTCATTTTATTCCCTGCATAATGCTTCCCCTTATTCTCAAAGCTTTGACGTTCCTGACATAACCCCAAGAAGCCCACAAGCTTCCAAAAGGGTAACACTGCTTGTGCAGCAGTGTATCCACATCTGGCCCTAAGACTGCAGGGATCTTGGGCTGTGATGAACACAAGCATTTCCAAGTGCGTGTCTGCACTTTAATTTGACGCGCGTCAGTCTGTCCAAGTAAGCTTTACACAAACCACCAATATTCAGCACACACCATGCTTAGAACCAAAGTACCTGAGTACTTTCGTAGTTTCAACATGATCCTACGCGACAACACACAAAAAAATAATAATAAATAAAGAGAGTGTTTTCAGCTCTGAGCAGCACTGCAGTCATTAGCTAAAGGGGTCTGAAACGGAAGGAAGTCACACTCTTCTAGAACAACATTTAAGTGAATTAAAAAACCAAAGGCTTCAAAACAAGCCACAAAGTAAACTATAATGAAGTGTAATTACATTAGCAATCTGTTTCCCCAATTCTGACAGTCCAAAACAACAACAACAAAAAAATCAAAAAACCAACCCCAAAAAAGGCTACAAAGCCAATTCATCACTAACACAGCTGTCTAGTAAACCTTCCCCTTCCCACCTCCCTAGTAGGAGTTCTTTTTAATAGCACAATAAAACACTCCAAAGCCTCATTGTTATAGAGTAGGGATCAAAGAATAGCCCAATCACTAAATGAATCATTATTTAGCTAGGCAGCACAGCCAAGGAATTGGGCTAGATATCAGAGACTCTCTGCCACTGACCTAGCGGTCTAACCTTCGGCAAGGCATTTTTCTTCCCTTGAGATCATTTCTTGCTAAAACTGGAATAATAAAGCTCTGTCTGCCATGGCAGAGTACTTCCAAGAGTACTTTCAAGATCTACCTGTGAAAGTGCTATAAATATTATTGTGATCTGTGAAACAACTTCCAACCAGAACACGAAGGGAAATGTCAAGTGTCTTCTAATAGGAAGCAGGAGAGATCTAACAATACTCAACTTGCAACAGCCTTCACTTGTACCCAGCAATGCACAAATCTCCTTGTGGAGAGATCTCATATGAGTTTGGTAAACAGCACCTTTCCAAATTTCGCATATGCTTTCTCACCCTTTACCCCCGCACACCTTATGCAAGAGCATCCACAGCTTTGGTCAGTTATCAGATATATCAGGCTTTTCAGTCCCTTGCATTGGCAGAAATTGGGGGATGCTGGCACTGCTGCCAAACTGTTCACCCCACACTGATCGGAACGTGCTTGTTTTCTCTGTACAGCCCTGGCCACATAAATACCAAAATCTGACTCTACCCAGCCTTCGGCCACTGCGTGAGCAAGTCTTTCAATGTATCCTCTTGTGTTCAGACTACCCTCTGCCAAGTTATTTAATATCCTCTAAAAAGAGTAACTTTCTATCCTGTCTTTGAAGGAATTTAAAAAGCTATACATTTTCAGTTGTGGTTATTTTTCTTCTGTTTTGCCTTTTAAGAGCCAAGTCTGCTATTCAGGCGGCATCTTCATTCACATCAAAGAGCCTGACTGAGCTTCAAGGAGGAAGCTGCAGAATTTGTCCCCCATTTTCTTCTGTCCTCAGTTTGCAAGCCTGTTTCTTTTGGCTAAAAGTCATGAAAGGAAACAATTATGCTCCCTACTCAACTAGAAAGGTAGAAGCCACATACTTTGCCCCCATTTCACAAGACCAGCAGAGTGGCCTGAAACATTTGGGCAAAGGTCACGAAAGTGATGGCAAGTATCTACGAGTGGTTCTACCACCTCCTGCCACACAGATGTCTGTGCAGATATGAGCAAGGGGCCCTCGCTCATCTCCATCCCCTTCCCCTCTCTTCCATGGCAGGACAGTACTTCCATTACAATCTGATCCTACCACTGCTCAGAAAAGGAAGGAGACAAAGGTACTGCAAGGAGTTAACAGAACCTTCATCTCCTAAAAAAAAAAGCATCTTTGGATCATCTGCAATTCAAGAGCAACACATGGCTGCTCAAACTGGCATCTATCCATTCCTTGGCTACTTTTTTTCTTTCTCCAACAGCCCACCAATGAGATTTTTCTGGTGTTTTGGGGTGGTTTCTTTTTAATGGAGGGAAGACTAGGAGACACAATTCCACATTTCCCACCGCTTTCTATCACTTCCTTGTTTTATGCTACCTAGTGTGGACAATGGTACAGAACAGAGGCCTGAAGTAGCAGCTTAAAGTGAATTTTTGGTCAGAAAATTGCAGAATTGGCCATGAGCTAATATAAACATCTGCTCTTGGTACCTGTTCTGGTTCATGTCTGCTTAGTTTACACACAGAAGGCTGCTTTTATTCATGTCAGCATGGAAGAGGGAACACCGCAAGAGTAAACTTTCTTACTTGGCTCTACACCCTGCGCCACGAGCCGATGGCCCCGGCGCTGCAGAGGTTTCCTCCCGTGCCTTCCTTCCTCCGTTCCCAACTTACTTATGTGTGGCAAGGGCGTCTGCAAGAATTCCAGCAGCTCCAGTTACACTCCAGTGCCCTATCAGCTACATGGTGATACACATGGCTGGGAGAGTAAGGAAAGTCAGGAGAGATGGCAAGACTAATAATTAGAGCTATGTCTTTTTGGTATGTTTTCCAAGCATGCCTGATAGGGAAGCAGTCAACTGGAAATCAATATGGTGCCCCAAAAATCTTTTTTTTTTTCCATGAAGACCAACTTAAGCCCAAGTTGAAAATGCAAACCAGACACACATTTTTTTTCTAGAATCATTCTCCTGAATTTTGGCTGTGATTTTTATTTTCTCTCAGAAACTGTACTGAAACATGACAATTGCAGTCTACCAAAAAAAAAAAAAATAAAATGCCCAGGACGATGTGAAGATTTCTTTCCACTGGCTGCTAATCCCTATCAAAAAGCATTCTGAAAATGAGCCAGCCTGACGTCGTCTTCGCATTAAAACACGAAGTGGTTTATACGATGGTGTACATGGCTCTCCCCAGCGTGCGGGTCAGTGACTTCTCTGTTCGTGCCCCCAGGCCTGAGACAATATATATCTATTTTGCAGCAAGGAACTCTGCTTTCAAAAAACCAGAAGCTAGTTTCAATCGGCTATCCAGCATCTCCATGTGCATATGAATGGCAAGAAAATGCTATAACGGTATATGGGCGAAAGCCTGAACTTTCATAGGTAAATAGAGGGATAAACATTCCTTCCTGAAAGCAAACATTCATGGCTTTTTCCCATTCAACCATGCTTGAACCCTTTGTAATTTCCCTAAAGCCCGAACCCGCTGCACAATTAATTCCAGATCCCTATTTTAAACCTAATCCCTCTCAAAACAGCAACCTGCCTGCAGGTGTGTCTCTTCTTTTTACATCATAAATGGAAACTTTCACCAATTGCATATTAAATTGGAGGAATTTTAAGAACAAGCTACCAGAATGAACTAGTTAAATTAGTAAAACTGTGTCTTTTAAATGGACTGTCGACAAATGGCAGTATGTTGGAAATATATTCCAAACAAAAAAAATTCTTCCAAGCAATTTGAAATGATATAATTTCCGGTCCCTATGTACGCTGGTCATAAAACTGCACCCCACAGTAGTAAAAATAATCGTATTAATATACTGGGGAGGGAAAAAAAAAATCTTTTTGTTCATTTACTCACAGTGCCAACTAACTGAAACCAGTGGAGCAGCCGTCTGCACAGAAGAGCAGGATGCATGACCCTTTCTGAAGAGACACTTTGATTTTCCAAGAAATCTTCAGCTCTGTGCTCCTTTTCCTGAGTTACTTTTTAAATCATTGTGTTTATATTGAGCAAGTTAGTTTTAAAGACCAGATCATGCAAATCTTTATACATGCAAATACAATTTACTGACTTCAACAATACTACTTGCTTCAATATAAGTGCTTGGGCAGGAATCAGAATCTAAAATTCTCAATTTGCTTGTTAGACTGGTTTATGTTTCTTGCAAACTTAAACCTTCTTCTGCCTTTGTCTGTTACATGTTTGATGGGGTATCTTTTAATGCGTTGGGTTTTTAAAAAAAAAAATCCTTTCCCTGTTTTATTCGCTGCTGCTGTAGTTGTATTCAATTCATTAACAAGTGGTTTGCATCCGCTGAGAAGAGCTGTCTGAAATAGCAGTGTCACAGCATTCATCATCATTACATCAGCAGTAGGGAAGTTCATACTGATTGCTATCAGCAACCAGAGTGCCCCAATCAGCGTGCAAGCAAACATAGCATGTTTAATTTTTCAGAAATGACTCTGGGTAGTTAGGGTGTTCAT